TTGGACTCGCGGGCCGAGCCTAATTACGTCCTTTTAGCTTTTCCTAATATTTTTTGGCGCAATTCAATCTCTTCCAACGTTTCGAATCACCAAAACGGGTTTTCGAGAATGAGCACGTGGACAACGTTCGCTCATGCAACCCGCTAAGGTAGATCGGCCCTCGTTGGTTCTTGAAGCTGTAAATGTATCATGCAAAGAGCGTGCAAAAAAAAATTCTAGTTCGGTGCCTGCGTTTAGGGCAAAAATGCCAACAAGTTCAGAAATAGTAAAAAAACAATCGGAAAGAAAAAGGAAAAAAAAATGTAACCCAAAATTTTGTTGGTTGAAGATGCTTCATCCATGAGTAATTTGAAAGATTCTGAAAACCGTAGGACTTCTAGGGTTCCTTTCACATATTTTCGTGTTCGGTTGGCAACGTATAATTGAGTAATCCCAATTTGCTGCGAAAGTATACCCTTTGCTCAATTAAAAAAAACTCCCAAAAAGCTTGAAATTCCAGTTTCCCGCCATCTGCTCTAGCCTCGTACTAATTTATTGATAATGCCGTGATATCGGGGAAAAAGCTCTTGATAGTTAAGTTATTACTTTAACTTGCATTTCCGAAGTGCGTGGTAATGTCTTAATTTCCGTCTTTTCACTTGTTGTAACAAAGCTATCCAAGTCTTTTTGAATGGCTGAAATTTTATTCGAGCTGAAACGCATGAAACCAACTCTTTCATCGTGATCACTACCCCTGATAGTAATGATGAGTGTACGAAAACCAAAACGCAACAAGGGTACTTACCCCATTCGTTTAATGAGTTAGCCATTTTTGGTAACCTTGAGGTAATCATTTTTTTACTGTTTACTCTGAAACCCTCTGCCCTTTGGTCAGATTGTGCTGTTGGAGGGTTGCTAGAACTGAAGGCATGTTCATTTGGAAATTTATTTCTTGGAAAATTTGTATGTGTTCTTCGAACTGAAAATCTGACTAGCTTAAGGTGGCTCCTGGCTGGTACTTTCAGTGCTGGCGTAGCCTGCTTTGCTTTCAGAACCTTTTTCTCGTCTGATTTCATGTGAACTGATAACACTCTTATATGACTTTTAAAAGATGATGGATGTGTTGATAAGAATGGGGGTGACTGATTCGCACATACGGGTAAAGGCCTCAACTCTCTCAATTCTAGTGGGGCGTGAGTTCGGAGAAGTGAATTTTGGGACGAATTTTTCAAGGTTAGGTGAGAAGAAAGTCTTTCATCTGCTTTAAGATGCATAATATCAATTGATTCTGAGAATACATTAGGGAAATTATGATTTGACCCAAATGAACAGCTTAAAACCTCGGGTAATTTCTCGTTTCTCTCTATTGGCGCGACGATAGGTACATTCACGTTGCAACTAGAAGCTGAAAATGGCTCCTGAAATTGATCCATGTGATGTGATTTTGGCGGCTCAACTTCTCCTGTGAAGACAAGGGGATCTGATTGAACTTTCGGGATGGATGGTAAATTATGTTCAATCAGAGGTGTTTGTAAGTTGAAAGTTCCTTCGACTTCCGCACAATTTTTCGGAATTTTTTTTACGTCACACATACCTACCATAATGCTGGGAGTATAAGAAGTTGGAACTGTCAGATTTACCTGTTCTGTCTCCTGAATTTCATGTAAAATTTCACTGATATGGTCATATATCAGCTTAACTAGCCTATCTTTGCCATGATCATTTAAACAATAACCATTTGATTCAAAGAACGATTCAGGGAACTTCTCCTGACTAACTGCTAATTTACTCAAAGTAGGGCCTGAACTTAACTGGTTATTTATAGTAGAATTTACAGAATGGATTATCTCCTGTATATTCGGGAAATCATATCGAGGCAACACAGGTGAAATAACCACATGCATTTTACGTGTCAGGTCTTTCAACCGACCAAGAGGCAAATTCCTAACAACAGTGTCAGAATCATGAAAAAATTGCTGTTGAGCAAAATTTCTTTCAGGAGCTAGAATGACTGCGATCGCCTTTTCGCCTGGTTGCACGTTTCTCTGCTCAATGAAATTTAACGCTTCACTCATCGTAACCTCGTCGGAACAGAAAATCTCGAGATTTACCAATGGAGTGAGTAACGACTCCAACCTCTGTTTCACACTACAAATATGCTGAGATCCAGCAATGATGACTCTAGGTTTTATGTGTGGCACAGTAACCGAGTGCATTGGGAGTTCTGACGTTACCTGAACTTCCGGTGTTGCCGATTTGGTCAGGTTTTGACGACCAACTAAATCACCAATGGGAATATTCGGCCTTATTCGTACAGGAATGTTTATGTTACTTAAATTGAAACGAAGAAAGCCGACCTAGACAAAAATTCCACCTTAGATAGGGAGCTTATGGTAACATCAGGAAGTTTAAAAGGCTTAAAGGAATATTGTCCGCGCACTTGATTGGAAACTTGTACTTTTGTCACAACTCGCTCCCCTGGATTTACAAGAATTTCCTCTGTCAAAGTGGCTCTTAACTTTGACCCTGATTTTGTCTCAAACGTTGGAACGACAGGATCAACAATGGCTGGAGGCACTTTTGGCTGTGTTATCTCGGTAGTTTGCGGCGTCGATGATATTTTACCAAATTTTTCTAACATGGCAAACAGAAGCTGTTCAATTCCTTTATTTTGAGACTCAAAATTTATCTTAAGCAATGAGTCAAGATCCCGCTGCAAATTAAGCATCATAGTTTCTATCTTATCCAGACGGCTTGAATCGCCTCCTGCTTTCTGTTTCAGGATGATCTCAATCTGCCTAATATTTTCGCGCAGTGCGACTAAAGTGTCGTTATTCCCGCGTAATTCGACTTGAAACCTCAATTCCGGTTCCAATCCCTCGAGGAAAAAATTCACTGCATCCGGGTCAGCTAATGGAATATTGGTCAATTTTTTTAGGCGATTTTTATCCTCGAAATATGTCATAGCATCTTCCCCTGGATTTTGACACCTTCCCTGAAATCTCTTCCACGATGTTGTACCTGGACTAGGATGGAACCGTTCCCTAAAAGAATTTTTCAAATCCTCCCAATTTTTTACATTTAATTCATCTTCATTTTGTTCCCACCATATTTGTGCTTTTCCCAACAAACTTAGGTAGAAATACTGGCGAACACGTGCATCATCCCAATTATACACCTGTTTTTGACGATTTATTTCACTTATGAGTAATTCAACTTCACTTGGATCACCTGTGCAACGAGGAATTCCAAGTTTCAAAGGGTTTAACACAGCATCCATACCTTAAATGAGATTGAGAAGAATTCGGGTAAATAATTAAATTAAAAATTACTGCTGATCTGACCCAGACACATACACAACACGAATTCAGGCATTTCAGTAATAGGCGAGATGGCGATTTAAAACTCGCTAGGTTTACAAAAAAAATTTAACACAACCCAAAACGAGAGAACGAAATAAGAAACAATAAGAAAATTACTTTGACATTATAAAAATAAAAAAATGAAACATGATACTGCATCCAATTGAAAAAACGCAATCCTGAAAAGACAAGAAAATTCCCTGGTTTCTCCCAAATACATTTGACCTGTAAAGAAAAATGATCAAAAACGAAAAGAAAAAAAAATTAAAAGAAAGACAGAAAAATCAACTATATAATTCCTTTCTTGAGTCTACGCAACCTCGGAAACACAAATTAAATTTTCTCACTCGCTTGGCTTTTTATGGAGAGGTACTACAGAACGGCCAAGAAACACTCACCGGGAGTTTATTTTTTGGCTACCCGGCCAGGCCTACACCACTTGAAGCGGCTAAAACTCTAGGGACCAGAACTACCCTAAAGTTTAGCTAAAAGGGGGCGTTCCACCACTTGAGGTATAGAAAATGAGGCCTCAAGTCCTCAGTGATGACTAATTGGTAGAGCTATAACACACGCTAATATCAAGGATATTCTGATGCAATAAGATGTTCTATCAAACCTGTCCCATGGACTTAGATGATCTTTTCGATGCTCGTCTGATCACTGATTTTATGAGAGATGGGGAGAAGTAATCCAAATCAAAACGTGCACGGGTTTTGGGGTGCCACTCCCTTTAATTACACTAGTTGATGATAAATGATGAAAATACACACAGGAACCATGCAAACAACACTGATCATACACCGTAACGTAATTCCACCGGAGACACCTCGGATCGGCCAAACTATTTCGGACAAATCTACGACGTTTACGGAAAATTACAACAACAAATAACTACGCATAACGCTCACTCTAAAAACCGGAACTAAAAGAACAAATACAATTTTAAAATTAAGAAAGAAGGGGGGGGGGTTTAGTCGAAAACTCTCGGGGCCAACTGGGGGGCAACGGGGCTGTACCGCGTGTTGCTTACCGCGAGCAGTGTGGTCACCGCGTTGAGAGAAGACTGATTTCATAGATCTTCCTTAGGAGCGTCTTACCCTCAGTTTCGTACGATTCGAGCGGAAAATCTAGTGAAATCAGCAATTCCAGTGCTCTAAACATGACTACGCGATGTCCAGCAGACAGGGTCCCCGCACCGCTGCCACGCACCTTCTAGAGGGCCGCCGAAACTATTACGAGTCTTAGACCATCCCGTTGGCTCCCGCAGGGCGTGGCAACCGCGCAGCGGTCTACTGCAGCGTGACATCATACTCTTAGGATGTTCTCCAACGCGAAAAACACCCTATCTCACGTGTAGTGCGCTGATCGCATCCGCACCAGTCGTCGTTCATACGCTGAAACTGCAGTTTACGGCAACGGGGCCCGATGAGAGAAGCCCAGGACTTCACGAACTCCTGGCTATCGCAAACCAGCCTTTCAACTTGTCAAGATACTAGCCATCTATTGAAGTTAGCAGACAAATTTAAAATCCCCCAAGAGGGACTCCAAACTCACTGCACGCCTCCAAAACATGGCGCTGTCGCTAAATTTTCGTTTCAGCTCTGTATTGTAATTTTATTTTGTAATCTCATTTTATTTCGGGGAGAGAAAATTGAAACATTTTTTAAATCTTTGGTAGTTTATTTTAAAAAGGAGAATAAATGATGACATGAGGTTACTTTAGTTTTTGATTATGGCTCAACAAGTTATTAGACTCTAGCCTTAGTCTCTACCCCTTTGAATCTGTAAGTTTCAAAGCTTTCTTCTTCTCAACTTGAACTTTCTTTTTATCATCTTCGATTTCCGCCTTTGTGGGGAAGAGACGTTCGTCCTCGCGGAAAAGTTGATCCAGTTTTTTGTTGCGGGCAAGGAGCTCGAAGGATTCCGGACTGGCGTGGTAGACGAGATACGCGCCGAAATAGAAATGTGCCAGCTGCTGTTGCAGGTCATGCCAGACTTTCACGTCCAAGTCGATGATCTCCGAGTGTAGTATTGTTCCACCATTCGTCCCTTCTTTCGCCAGAATAAAAACGCACTCTTTCACGCGACTTATCGCCATAGAACCTTGCACTTGATAATAGTACTTCGAGCTTTTCCTCAGCCACCTGTTGAAATCGTAGGTAAAAGTTATATGAAACTGGGAAAGTTGGCATACTGTTTTCCCTCCATTCAAACTTGTGTAATGCATAGAGTACATAGAGTCGTAATGTAAATGGGAGAGCTGGCGCCATGTTCTGCTCGACGAATTCCGAGCCCGGTGTGCGCCGAGTTCGGGTCGCTTTTTCGATACATTTTCGATCCAAAATGGCGGTGTGGAATACGTGGTAATTCCTATCTCCGTTGTTGTTGTTGTTGTTGTCATCGGATGGCCGGGAACCCGTGTATCGCAAACAATCGATTATGTATCGAAAAAGTGACCCGGCGTCACACAGGAGTCTCGGAATTCGGGACATGAAAAATGCTTAAAAGTGGCACCAGCTCTCCCAATTACATTACGACTCTATGTACTCTACGGTGTAATGCCGCAATGACACGCTGAATGTGGCTTGAATGTGGAAGTCATCGGCCCGATGCCTGAATTTTGCGCGTCACGCGCAAAATTCAGCAACGATTCTCAGCAACCATCGGACTAATATTGGATTTGTCTGAGCTATTCGAATAGATTTGACACACATCTGGATGAAAATAACTCGAATTTGCGAAATTTCAGCCATTGGGCGATGACAGTTGACTTCCGCATTCAGCTGCTATATTTAGCGTGTGATTGCGGCATCAAACAGTCGATTTTAGGCGAGGCAAGTTGCCACGCCTAGAATCGATATTTTTAAGTGAATTTAAATGGAGGAAAATCGGTGTTGCCAATCACAGAGCATCGCCACCGGGCCACCCGCAGAGAGCGCTTCGTTGCGCTTTCTATGGTCTTTTCACGGGCCCTTGTAAGTTGATCTGAATAAAGCGGGCTCATGCAAGGACTATCTCCTATCGATAAAACCGGGCTGTCAGGTACATCTTAAAGGCGAAAACAAAAGTTGAGCTATTAGCCGACTTCACAAATATATGTGTCGCAGGCAAATAGTGAAATCAGGCATTTTGTCAAATGCCTAGGCAAATAGTCAAATTTTGACGGTCTACAAAATTTTGTAAATTTATGGCAAAGAGCTCACGATTTTAACCATTTTTGGAAAAATAATTCATCAAACCTACGAACTCTTTTTGTCTCTTCCTCTTCAATTGCTTCTCATATTTTTAAATGCTGAAATTCCGAAAATTCTGTATTTTATGTCAAGCTGAAAATTTCAAGATCAGTGTCTGTTCAGGAGCTAAAAATTGTTTAAAATACTATTGTGTACTGCAAATTTTAACCAATAATTTTTTCTTGCGGGAGCAATGGATTATTTTGTCTGAAATTAGGAACAGAATCAGAATTTCAATCTAAGTTAGAATATTTGACTATTTGCCTAGGCATTTGACAAAATGACTGATTTTACTATTTTCCCGCGACTTTTGCAATAATTGCGACTCGAGGAAACGACACTTGGACGTATTTCTACCAAACAGACCTATGTGGAGGTGAGAAATATGGGGTGTGCTCTAGGGAGCTGCATAAGAAGCAATGTAAAAGTGGGCGTGATTTCTTTTGAAGAATTGGAAAAGCGGGATTTTACATTCTATCAAAGAGACCTATGTGGCAACTGAATGCGGAACTCATGAGCCGCGGGCATGGCAAGAGAGCGTTGTGGACAGGGCTCATGAGTTAAAGAGTCCCGCCAACGACCCTCCTGTCGTTCCGGAGAGTAGTTAGAAAAAGTGAGACCCCAGCAAAAACACGTCAGAACACATTACAATGTCGGAGCACGCCTCTTACTGGCAGAAGTTCAATGTCGCACCAGACGCGTGCACCAGTCACCAGGAGCTACATACTCTCGACTTCAGTTCATTTTTTCCACTCGAGACCAACATACCCGTAAGTTTTCTAAGGAGTCAATACATCTTAAGGAAGTTAATATTTTAGAATAAGGAAGTGCTTTTAACCACACAGATCTACCTAATATTATAAGGAAGTGTTTTTTACACACGATTGTATTACAATGAAGAAACCCGTTTCCACACCACCTTAGAGGTAGGGCTATCAGCGCGTTTTTTTTAAAGTGGTATCCCCAGTAGGCCTATTCCACTAGATGATATTATTAGTTTACATCACAAAAAAACTATGTATGTAATTCCACTAGACGATATTTTTTATTTTTNCCCATATTTCTCACCTCCACATAGGTCTCTTTGGTAGAAATACGTCCGCTTGTCGCTCCTCTGATGTTAAGGCGTTTCTCTATTTCCGTAAGAGCCCCGGAAAGCATAGAGTTGTACGGAGCACAGGGCTCAAGTGTAAAGTGAGGTACGCCCTTACGTCAGAAGAGCGACGACAAGTGTCGGTTCATCGAGTCGCAATCCTTGCATGGATTTGTAGCTCAAATTTTGTTTTCGCATTATGAGTAGCCGAAAACCGAAAAATCCTCTTGAGGACGAACAGAATTGTGACAAAAAAAAATGAAAATTTACATTGTTTGAATGGGAGAATTCACGACTTCTTCACGTGATATAAAAAACCCGAGTCATATTCCCAAAATCTGAACAAATCCTAAATCTAAGGACTGTCACATTTTGATAGACGCAATGACCACGAAAATTGGGTCAGTAGAATGATTAGGAGGATAGGGGACTATGGCGGCTGGGTGTTGCAGAGCGCTGAAGAGCACTATGAAAGCGGCATGTATATGTAGAATGATTAAACGAACTGAGGCAAAAAATAAAAACTTAGGGAGTCTGAGAGCTTGTACCAATGATCCATTAATGATGATGGGTTCTGATATGTAAAAGTTCACGCAGTTTATACACGTGAGTGTACGTGTGAAGTTTATCGGCACTTATCTCTATGATATTTTACGTGCAAAATTTTATCTGTACCTAAGCCGAGGACCGTGCACTTTGCACTAGAATTTGGAGTCTCTCCTCAACCAAGTTCTTCCGGTTTCATATGAGTGCTATGAAAATTGCTGTGTTCTAAGATGTACAACTTCACCGGGTTTATACCTGTAAAGTTTTACGCGCGATGGCATTTATTCGCGAAGTTTATTCTTATGAAATTTTATTTGAGGAACCCAAGCACCTTGAACTTTCAATGCCAACAAGGCTTGCATTCTGTAGCACTATTTGGGGTCTCTCCACGAAAATAAATACAACATGACATTAGATCAGCGGGGCGATTATTGAAACTGATAGACAAAGCGATAGACAAAGATGACATAGGGAGTATGGAGCGATCCTATTGGTTGAAATGGGTGGTTCTCATCGACTAAGGGGGAAAATGATAGACTAACTGTCGGGTCTCTCGTGGGTTGCCGGTAGTTAGTCCATTACCTACCTCCTTTGTCCATTGCAACCACCCGTTTCCACCAATAGGATCTCTCAAAATCCCTTTTATCGTTTTTGTCTATAGCTTTGTCTATCAGTTTCAATAATCGACCCGCAGAACCAGACAGAGACGAGGCGTGAATAATCAATTATTTAGTTGTTCGTTTGCGAACATTCTGTTTTATGGGTCCCTTTCCATAGGTTTCAATGGCAGATCAATCGATACATCGGAAAGTACGCCACGCCATTGGACTCAAGGCGACGTTTGACATCCTTCTGGAAACAAATAGGTTAAATGGAGAATTTGCAAGGGTCTGAAATTTGATGAATTTCGCGTTTAAGTGGCATCTACTGATTGTGAGTGAACTGAACACGCGAAGATACCCTTGATTCAAAAATTGAGCAGTTATTAGAGGAGATATGACAAAATAACCGATTCTGCTCAAATATATGTGTTTAAATGGGAAATGCCGCCAGATGACGTCACAAGGCCACAATTTTTCCCACTTTTAAATCAATTTTTCTCAAATTTCCCATGTCAGAAAAAATTATGAAAAAGACTGCGAACTCAGCTCATTAGGCACTTTTACAGACGAAGCAATATTTGTGGGTGCAAATTCTACATTGTAAGAATCCCGTACTCATTACCTTTTTCCTGCTTTATTATCAACAGATAGGATCGTATTCAAGTGCTTCTCATCTGCGCTGTTCAGGATAACAACTTCGAAAATGACCTTCTGCCTCTTCCTCTTCGTGGGTTTTTGTGGTGAACTTCCAGGTTTTTGAGAATCGATTTTTATTTCTCTGTTGCTCCTGGGTCGGGAGCCATTACTACGAGGTTGCGGCGGCTGCGATGACTCGGGTTGGGAGTGCGTACCTTCCAAGCTGTAGACTTCGAATCCTCTGGTGCTCCTTAATCGAGTGTTTATTTTGCCAAATTGAGGCGTCGGGCGGATACGGACTCCAAAGGCGGTAGGATACGCCGCCAGGTATGGCATCGCCCTGTCGATCATCAACCCACCGTCTTCGATATCCCACCCGGGGTTCGCAGCTAGGTAACTGTTCAAAATGGAAATGGAAGCGGTTTTTTTCGAAATTAAGTTTCTGACGGAAAAGCAATTCTTAGGCCTTGTCTCCACGGGACGTTTTCATGGGATATTTCCCAAGTTTGAATAGCAGGAATGAGACTTCTGGGATTTTTCCCAGTTACCGTCTCCACGGGACAAGGCTCATACGGTCCTGCGACCCCTGGTAAAAATTGGCGATAAGAACTGCGTTTCAAAATACCATAGGAATTCTTATAGCCAGCTAAAGGAGGCTACAGAAAATCATATAGCTGGCTGTAGAGTGCGGAGAAAATCATAATACGGCCGGGCTATACGAGGTGATAAAAAATTATGCAGCCGGGCTATAGCTCCTATCACCGGGCTTTACACTTTATCGCCTGGGTGTTGCTTTTTCGCCATCGATTATAAAAGGCTTTAAGATATTGTGTAGAAATTCTTGTGCTTTGGAAATCATTAAGTTTGATACGGAACCACCTTAATATTTACAAAACACACATTATATTTTCCTTTAATACATACTTTTCTTTCATCAATTAAAATGAGAATAATCCATACAGGATGTGCAAATATTTCAAAATCATGAGTTGAATAACGCTGACTCCGCCAGATTAAATATTAGAGCCTAACACAAAGCGGAGCGGCGACGCGCTGGCGCCTACAAACCTAACAGGGATACTTCACGCAGTGCGCAACGCGTGAAGTATCCCTGTTAGGTCTGTAGGCGCCAATGCGTGTTTCGCGCTGGCTGCCCGCCTGCCACGGCGCTTGAAGCAACTACTTCACACTAGAGGTGTTGCACAGTATCATACGAAACTGAAGGCGCTCTAATATATTGGTAATGGCAGGTACCCATCAAAATTACGGAGCTTTCCTCGCAAAATAAATCAAGATACTACGGCCAAAAAAGAGAGCAGTATTCCAAAAACTCACTAAGTCCTAGCATCCGTAATTAGTAACGTTTAGCATACACTTTATTGCCTGGCTGTTGCTTAATCGCCATCGACTATAAAAGGCTACAAGAAATTGCGTAGCCGGCTACAGAAGCTATTGGAGATCTTTCAGCCGGCTGTAGGTTTATGGTATTTTGAAACACAGATTCTACTGCCAATTTTTTACCAGGGACTAGTTTGCGCGGGAAGATAACTTGGTTAAAGTTGAGTATTTAACCGGGATCAAAATAATAATCGCACTCAATTGACAATGGGCCTGTTGCAAACTTTTGCTAGAGCAGAATGAAGAGTTGTTTCCTATAGATAATGCCTCAAAAATCACGATGAGCGCATCGGCAAAGTCTGAAATGCACTCATAAATTCACAATCTGCGTTAGAAATTTGCGTTATTTTGAGCTTCCCGCTTCAAAAACGATACTACTGCACAGGTGAACATTTTGTTAGAGGAGTCGCTCCATCGTCGGCAATATTCATCATGGCCGACGCTTGCGCAGTTCCTCGCGTAATTCGAGGAGAGTTCAAGGTCAATTAAGGCGGGCGAGGAAAATATGAACGTAAACACGCCGATTGTTAAATGGTTTAATCCTGTTCAGGTGTTATCTCGTCCCATCACACGTGTTTTGACGGACTGGCGTCGGCCATGATGAGTATTGTCGCCAATGGAACGACTCCTCTAACAAAATGTTCACCTGTACCGTAGTATCGTTTTCGAAGCGGGAAGCTCAAAAAACCGCAAAAATCTTACGCAGATTGTGAAGTTATGAGTGCATTTCAGACTTTGCCGATGCGCTCATCGTGATTTTTGAGGCATTATCTGCAGGAAACAACTCTTAGTTTTGCTCTAGCAAAAGTTTGCAACAGGCCCATTAGACACATTATTTTAACTAAACAAACATGAACAATGGAGTAATCGACGAAATATCGCACAGTTCGTTTACACTTCTTCTTCTCTCAGTGGGTTCAGGGTAAAAGGACCATACTTGGTACTGGGGAAAATATTGAGTTAATCAATATTTTCCCAAGTACCAAAAATATTGAGTTAATCAATATTTTTCCCAACTTCGTAAGTGGGATTTTCCCCTGGGACACATCTCGTGAAACGGCCCGTGGAGACAAGGCCTTAGGAGTAGTCGCACCTACACCCAAGGGGCCGTCCACAAATTATGCAAGGTAATTAGGGGGGGGGGGGG